GAAAATTTTAAAACATAGGTAAAAAATCTTGAACGGAGCTAGACAAGTTAAAAAAAAGAATATAAATTTTGTTTTGATTTTAAATAGAGTTTGGTGTAAGTCAACACATTTGTTGTTGAATCAATAAAAACACGTCTTTTCACATCTTTTTAACCTTTAAGACTTTTTATTTTTTTAATTACAAATTACTGATTTATATTATTGTCTTTGTGCTGCCAGTGTCTCCCAATTCTCAAACATCATCTCAATCATCTATTATGCCTCAAAAAACTTAATGGATTAGCAATTTTAAACATTGCACATGTCATCTTGGAAAAGATTGATAAGCAATTATTGATGATTTTACTTCACATTGTTCTTTTGTGATACTTGTGTTGTTATTTTTGTCCATATATGTAATATAATTCAAATAATATGAAGGTGAATTTCATCTTTATTTTATAACGTTTATTAGATAGTTGTTGGGAGAATTCCTTAAATAGAAGTTTTTTTTTAGAATTTCAAAATAAGACTGTCATGTGTTTAGTTTCTGAATACGAGTAATTATTGTCATGTTCGGAATATACTACCATGTGTAAAGTATGATACTGCCAAAATACGGCAGTGATTACTTCTATTTAGGGAATAAAAACATGATAATCTTACTTTTGAATATACAAACGTTTTAGTCCTATTTAGAGTAGTTTCCCATAGTTTATTATACTCCATAATTTTTACTTTAAGTAAGTATAATTTAAGGTTTGTTTTGAAAATAAGGCCAAAATAGTATACCGCCTATAGGCCCAAAATTGGACAGGACCGGCCCTGCCCTCATCAATAATGGTGGAGCTAGGTTTAGGTTTAGGGTTTGGGATTATCGGGTCAATTCCTAGCAACTCTAAATCGTCATCGTTGAAGACGAAGAAGAGAAGTGGATATGATGAGTATGAGGAAGAAGGATGGTTAGGGCTGAAGTTGGGGTCATTAGGGTCTCAAAATATTAATGATAATGGGCATGGAGTGGAGCAGCTGGAAGGGCAGAGATTCGTTAATGACAATAATTCCAATAGTAATTGTGATCATCATCACATTCATGATGATCATCATCATCCACCACACCACTACAACATTCTCAAACAACAACCATCACCATCATGGTCATGGTCATCACTTCCCCATCATTATCAGCAAGCGGCCGGTTTGTGGTTCACTCTCCGCTCAACCCTCAATCGGTACGCATCATATTTTTCGGCCACCCCTCTCCATATACAGATCAGACCAAGCTAGCTAATATTTGTGTCAAGATCTTTAATATATTGAATTGAATTGTGTGTTTACGTGATTTGCACTCATATTAAGAAAATAACTTAAGTTTTAGTATAGAATGCACCGTTTAATACGGAGTAGTACAATTTGGCATTGTTTCATTTATCAGAAAAGTAGACTTTATTGGACGAAAAATAGGGACGAAGTATGTGTATTGATGATCTCTTAATTAAATACTTCCTCCGTTCTTAAATAAATGCAACGGTCAATTGTTCACACTTGCCGAGACACAACTTTGACCATTAATAAAATGATTTTGTATTAGTAAAAAAATTAAAAAAATTAGATTATGAAAATTTACAATGAGACATGTTTAACAATATTTTTTCATAAAATAATATTATTACATTAATAAATTAAATGTAGTCAAAGTGTTGCATTTATTTAAGAACAGAGATAATACTACTTAATTAATGCTTAGCTTTCATGTTGTGGCAGGGAAGGTGAAGTGCTGCCTCAAATTCCCAAGGCGTATATTAGGGTGAAGTAAGTAACCATATATGCAAGCTAGCTAGATAGATTTTGTACTTTATTTTTTTAATTAAATTGGAGTTTAATTTACGCCATGCTTTTAAGTTTTAACATGTATACCCGTATTAAAAAAATTAATTTAATCTTCCATTAATTAATCACTATAAATCAATAAAAGAATCTAAATTATACGAAGTAGGTAGTATTGAAATGGAAGGAGTACTAATCATAATTACTCCGTATTAATAAGACGATTCCGGTGATGGAGCATATATATATGGCGAATTGAAACGGCTACAGTGAAATGATGAGAGGTTGTAATAAGTAACGTAGAAATTACATTACAGATGAAGATGCGGCAGATGAGCTAGCTATTATTTAAGGGGAAAATAAATAATATATCCCGAACTTTGCCTTGGTGTGAGCTCCCCACCCCGAACTTGTCATAGTTTAAAAAATACCCTCAATTTTATTTATTTAATATTTTTGTACCATATTTTAATAAACAAATAATATTTCTCAAATTGTAATATTTTTATTAGATTTAGTTGGCAAAAAAGATGTGTGATTCCCAAATTAATGTGTGCTTTTCGAATTGATTAAATAACTTCAAAATCTCTATTTGAAGTACAAAAAATATGTTAATTAATCTTTTTTGCCAACTAAATCTAATTAACATATTATAATTTGAGAAACATTATTTGTTAATTAAAATATGGTACAAATTAAAATTTTAAATAAATAAAGTTGGGGGTATTTTTAAACTAGAACAAGTTCGGGGTGGGGAGCTCACACTAAGGCAAAGTTCGGGGTATATTATTTATTTTCCCCATTATTTAATGTTTTTCTCATCTTTTTAATTTGCCTTTTTGTGTGGGTACAATCGGGATATTGAGAACGTGACAGTTCTCATGGTTCAGAGCTATCTAGTTACCAAGCTTGGTCTCTCGAACAAGGACCAGGTGCGTCCAATATCTCTCCAATTTACACCTTTAGCATTTCTAAATGGATTTTTTATAGGAATATTACTAAAATAAATCTATTTATATAAATATGACTATTCATTACTACAACGTAGTATTGTAGTAATTTAATTTCAAAACTTAAACATGAATTACTATGATTTCATTATTAGTTTAGTAATTAATCATATTTTTGTAAATCATCTTTATTTTAGTCATATTTATGTAATTATTACTTATCGGATAAATCAATATACGATACCAAGGGAATATAGAAAATTATGTCTAGGAAATTATACTCCCTATTAAAATGTCATTTAAACTTTAAAGTGGTGAGAAAGATCTATAGGTATAGCCGTATAGGAGTAAAGCTTTGTAGTGCGAAACTTTTTAAGATAATGTGATACTACATGCATGCATCTACATTAAATGAGAATCTCATGTGTATATGTTGCTTTGGGAATGGAATTCCAATGATGACCATATGAGCATGTGCAATGATTAATAGTAACACCATCACCTACAAATCGAGTATTATTCTAATTAAGTACATGTTTACATTTTTTAATGTTATACTTGCAAATTCTCCCAATGCCATTGTTATCTTTTTTGCCGCAATAATTACGAAGCTAAGATCTTTTAAACTAGACTATCCGCGATTATGTTTTATCAATAAATCATTTTTCTATCAGTTTATACGAAAATTACATATTACTCCAGTTTTCCGTCAATAATCCATTGTTTCCGTCCTTGCAATCCAACAACCTCTATATATTCTTTTAACACAATTTTTAATTAAGTTGTTACTTTTATTATTATACATCAACTTTCCAAATTAAATAAGTATTTTACAAGTAATAAAGATTTAAAAAGTCTAGTATTCTTATGTTAAAATAAAATTTTGTTGTTGTTGTTGTTGTTTCAGACCTATTTAAAAAAAAACTAAAATGTACGGAGTACTAAAAATTTGTAATCATGGGATTTAATTTTAATGCTAAGATTTACTAAAAATTTTAGGCCTAAAAACAAATAAAAAGTTAACAATTTTGATATTCTTTCCTACAAATCAGAATACAAATAAAAAAGTTATAATAATTGATAAAAGAAAAAGAAATTATTGTAGAAGGGCCATGAGGCCATGAGTCCATGACTACTTTTTTTTGGATGTTGTCGTGTTTCTCCCCAGCAAAGGTGAATGCGAGATAAATAATAGGGAATTTTTCACAAATAGACATAAAAGTGATAATTATATCACTTTTGTCACCACTAAAACTTTTTTTCAAACGTAGACCGTTTACATTTTTTTCTTTCAAAAATGGACCATCACCGTTAAACACACTTACCTTACTGCATTGTCTTATCTTTGAAGGTGCACACGCGTGAGGTTTGAATTGCTACCCACCTCTTTCAAAAACTAATACGTAGTACAAAGTGTAACAATCATTAAATTTATTCTTCAATAGAAAAATAAAAAATGTAAAACAAGTGAAAGACAAAAACGTAAAAATTTAAAAAATATTAGAATTCCATAATATTCTAAAAAATTATATTGAATTTTGAAATAAATAAAAAACATTACGGAAACAATTAAAAAAAACGAAAACATGTAAATTAAATTTAAAAATTTAAAAATGAATGTAACTTTTTTAAAAATCTGAAAATAAAAAACACATACAAAAAAATAAAATAAAAACTTGAAAAAAACATATATAAAAAATTAAAAAATAGTTTAAAATGTGGGGAAATTGTAAAAAGGTACAAAATACGATTTTGATTAACTTTTTGAAAAGTTAAAAAATCGAAAGATTAATAAAAGATATAAAATAGGCAAAATAATAAGAAGGTATAAAAGTAATTAGATGCTTTTGTGAAAAAGTAGTTATCTAGAAAAATGGAAAACATGCATATTAAAAATAAAATATCAAATAAATATATAAAAATTGAAATAATTCTAAAATTTTAAATTAAAATTTATGTAGTAAAAATTAAATATACTACATAAAATTAAAAAAAAATAGAAAATGAATGTAACCTACAAGTGTGTAAAATTAAAATAAACTCAGATAAAAAAAGTATAAAATACTAACCTAGAGAACTTAAAAAAAAAGTGAATTTAAAAAAATTAAATTTTTCTTAATGTACTTTAAAAAATTTAAAAAAATTATTATTATCATTTTATTTTAAGTTTTTGTTTCCTATTGTTTCTTTGTGTTTCTTTATGTTGCTGATTCTTAAAATTTTGTTTTATATTGTTTCTTTATGTTTCTAATTGTTGATTTCCATGGTGCACTTTTATTTAATAACGGGAAAACTAAATCAAGTGCCAAAATTGTAATTTACAACATCACAAAGGTGCATACTTGATACTCCTACAGTCCTACTTAAGCACCAAGACTGCAAGAGCATAACAAGTCAATGCTTCACGCACTAGCATACTGCACTAAACTACAAATAAAACAACCTCAAACAATTTTCCCAAAGTATAATCTACCCAAAGGAACTAAAGGCAGCATCACATAATCTGCATAATCTGACCGGCGGAGTCTGCCAAAAGCAACAACAGCATCATCATATAATCTGCATAATCTGACCGGCAGAGTCTGTCCAAAGCAACATCAGCATCATGCACTCCACAATTACTCCCCCTCTATCACCAAAGTCAAGGCAAATCACCACTCAACAATTTGCATATCAGTACATACATGCAAAACTCCTAAGGAATAATCAAGAAAAGAAACAAGGAAACCGCCATAAAAATCAATAAAAATTGTAGGAGACAGTCTGAATAACACCTTGTACATCAAGAGTTTAATATGCAAAAACACACTCAACTCTAATCACCTTATGAGCAAAAATAGCCTCTTCCCTAGGCTTCCAAATTGTGTGAAAATTGCAGAAAAGAGATAGTTGAACGGTCTTGCTCATTATTCTTGCACCTTCTCATTGTTTAAGGCACATTTTGACTGAATTGAGCATGGTAGAAGTATGATTTTTAAGTCTGAACCAGCATCTGCCATATTTTTTTTAGTGAATGCACATATAAAGAAAACATTCCACTGAGTCCATCTGTACTTGCAAAACATGCAATGCATTGTTAAATTTTATCATCATAGGTGTGTGCCTACTGCCTACACACACACCTACATATCAAACTACTACATACAAATGGAATCATAAATAAAAACAAACAATAAAGATTAATAGTTGAAAACGATAAACAAAAAGCAACCTGATGCATAAAAAAGAAACACAATACAACAAAAGGCAACAAATTATAAAGCAATAAAATGAAACAAAAGCAACAAAAAGAAACAAAAGCAACAAAAAGAAACAAAAAAAATGAGCTTGTGAATTTTGTTTGCAATGGTGGACAAAGTCTCAGAGATAAATTGGTAAAATAGAAGTAGGTACATACTTTATAACTTTTTCTGATATTTCATAACCTAAACAAGGTTAAGTAATTTAAAAAAAAGAAAAGAAAAGTCAAGAACATGTATGAAGCACACCGACTAAGTGATGAAAATAATAGCAGCAGCCGTAACAACTGATTTAGCACCTTCTCGGCGAACATGGGGATAAGTCAAGAAAGTCACCTTTAAGACAATTGGAGTATTTGAATGTAATACCACTTTTGTAAACTTTAAAGTTTCTTTCAAATGGACAAAACAAGACAAATAGAGTATTTCAAATGGAGTGTTTGAAATAAACGAATGGAGTTTTCAAATGGAGTATTTGAATTGATATAAACGACTGAAACAATACTAGTGCCTTTTGCAATTTCACAAAACACTGCAAATCTAAAAAACGTCCTTCACCCCTTTCCCCTAAATATTGAACACACATAATTAGGTATTTTAGCCATTCAGGTCTACAAAATCTAAATCCCCATGTTGATTACTTATGGATTTTCACATAATCATTCATGTGAGCGCTCAAAAATACTCTGAGAATTAGCAAAGCTAATAATCCTTTATACACCCCCATGGAAATAAGCTCCAGGAAGCAGCATCGTACAGTCCATTTTTATCATGAGAAGAATCTCCCTAATTTCCATTCTAATTGGTATTCTTTATTCGCAGTTAATTGCCTCACTTAGATGTTGTTACTTTCAGGCGCCATGGGTATATTATCATAGTTCGGAAAATCCAAGTTAAACCCTAGGACAATGGATTGGTACGAAGCACTAGAAATTGCAAGTAATTACGGACCTGGAAGTTGTGTTTGGCCTCTTTGAGACGTTCACCGTAATCATAGAGCATCTCATCGTCATTAGCCTCGTCAGATGTCTCTGCCATTTTTATTATCCAACGAACTTTGCCAAAGTGCGTATCAGATCTTCTAGGAGAAGATGAAATACATAGATTCGACACTTCAGGTTTTGATTGTATAAATTCAGATTGATCTCGAAATATAGATGTCGAAGAACCTGTCCGGACTCGCAGCGTCGAGTATGAACTCTGCCGCCTTTGTCATAGTGTCGCCCGCAGCTTCAAAGAGCCGCTGCTCGGACCTCATTCCTCCAGCGCTGCAAGTCTCGGCCGATCTCCAAACCTCAATCCCCGAGCGATCTTCTCTCTAGGCTGTGAGGTGATGAGTAAGGGTGAGGCGACTCTCTGGTATACAAGTATTACTCTACGGAGGAACAGAAAGAATAGCTAAAAGTGAAATCAATAAAACATTATTGAAAATCCAAAAGGTTAAAAATGAAAAGAAAAAACGAGTGAGACATAAATGATATGTGGCACAGAAAAGTGGACCATACGGGTAATTTCCACTAAATAATATGGCCCTTATACTCATCAATACTGAAAGGACCTTTAAATTTTGTCTTGCACGGTAATTTTTGTCTTAATTGGTGCAGGGGAGCTAGGGAGGACCAACCTAGGCCTGACCCATACCAAATTTAAAAAATATATTTATTTTTTATCTAAAAAATTTTGTGTTAATATTTTACAGTAATATTCTTCGTACAATTCTAGTCGAGCCCAATGTCTTGACTCTGCTCTTGATCAAGTTTTATAATAATAAGTTAATAATTCAATGTTGATACGTACACACTACACTACATGCATGAAACGCCATTGATCGTGCATATCTAATCTAATGTTGTAATTAAAAAAAGAATTTCTCTTTTTTTTTGCTTTTATTGTCCGTGAATATTTCAGACACGTGGGAAAAATATTTCAGCAAACTTGGTTCTTTGGTAAAAACATGATTTTTTTCACAGAAAAAATTAAAACAAAAATGGATCAATATATATGTGTAAATAGATTTTGAGGATGGATGTTGGAATGGGTGCAGGTAGAAGTATCATGTATGGGACAGAAACTGGTGCACAGGGGCGGATGTATGTTCACTGTATTGGGGGCACATGCCCCCAATGGCTTGTCACTGTATTTTAAGAAAATGTCACTAACATTTTGTATTTAAGGATATATAGTGCCCCCAATAGAAATTAAGAAGTGCCCCCAATAATTTTTCATGAAACAAGGAAACCATTAAATGCAAATATATTGCACGACTTTTACACAAATTAGTGCAGGCCACTTTTATACATCTTATTCTTAATATCTAACCTTAAGCAATTAAATAACTAAAAAGGTAAGATAAGGAAAGATTAGATCCTATTTTTTTTTACTGCCTAATAAGTCAATATTAACGATGTAAAACTAGATGTACATGATACATTACGAATGAAATCCTCACTTCTTTCAAAAAAATAAATTCATCAAGATACAAGATTCCCTCTCTTCCTAACAAATTGTTACTGTAAATGTGCACGGAGATTAAAAATAATGGCTCATAAAAGGAGTAATAATAGACAAAAGTAGATGAAATTATCTTTTGAGAGTGTGATTTTATTAGATAAAAATATCAATAATCATATTTAAAAAAATATTCTCTTTAAAAATTAGCAGATGATACTAATGTTGTGGAGAGATAAAAGTACCAATACAAATAGCATAATATTGATTTCCTTAGGATTAAATGGGAGATAAATTTAGACTTGATGAAACGAAACTGTGAGGACTAGTTAGGAATATAGGAGGTGTTTTCTCAGACAATATAATATAATATATAATAATAGCATTATTTGAACTAAATATGTGTTTACATCCAAAAAAACTAAATACTACCTCCGTCCCTAATAAAACTTCCAATTACGGGTTACGAAGTTTGACCAGCGATAAAGTTAAATGATCCCTGTGAAAACTCGGATTATTTTTAGTAAATAACATTTACATATTCAGAAACTACATTAAACCCGCTACAAAGCCTGCAAAAAATAATTCAATTTTTATAAATTTTTGATATATAAAGTAAGAGTTTAAGTGTGATTTAAGTTGACTCTCGAAAAGCGAAATGGAAGTTTATTTAGGGACGGAGGGAGTATATGTTTACTTAGTCATATTTTACAGTTCCTTATACTTTGTGGAGTACTAGTTAATCATAGTGAGTAGCAAGTAGGAGTGCACACGGTTTGGAACGTTTTGAGATTAGAGTTATCCCGGTCCCGATATAATAATCATACAAACATGGTAACAGGACGGGATGGGACAACCTTTTAATTGCATCAACGAAATAGGAACAATTTCAGGATATTTTGGAATGGGACAACAGAGTTTAAAATCTGTTCGAGATCCTATATGGTTTCCAAGCTTCATCGACCAGTACTCTTCCAACACTAACCAAACCCAAACTGCCCTCACCTTTCTAATGCCTTTAGATTATGGACCAACCTTTCAATGATCTATCTGGGACCCGACTTATAGCCATTGAGCCCAATCCCATGCATGTTATGCTAATCGTCCGTGCATGTCCTTCCCATTGGAGATGGATGGTTTTTCCAATTGTATTAAAATTCATGTATCACAATAGTTAGGATATCTATTACTCTACACTATTAGGGATACCAATATCCTAATATTGTTCCTTAAAGTGGGGCACAAAAACTTTCTTAATTTTGGCGGGTTTGATATTATGATAATACTCAATAATTATAAATGCAAGCTAGGTCTTTTCTTGAAATAACCAATCATTAACATTTGTCCTAAATAGCATTAAGATTGAGCTATCAAGATGTAGAAGATGAGCATGCAAAAAGTGCAAGGTGTTCATGTCAATATATTGCCATGGTAAAACCACAGCCATACTGCCATCTGTAGTACCTACCAGAGTACCGGGTGTAGGGAAATGAACCCTATATCAGAAAAAGTGTGTGGGGGTGTAGCTTTAACAAAAAAAAAAATACATGTTGAAAAGAAAAGATATATAAATAGACAATAAGAAATATTGTGACATGCTAGATGCACTGCCTAATTGAAAATATAATGTCAATGGTTAATCACAAACCATATACTGTGACAAACTCTCCTTTAAATTTTCATTCTATCAAATACGATGAAGAATATGAGCAAATCTTAATACTCCTGGAAGTAAGTCTTAAACGCTCAAGTGGACTAAAATGTGGAGAATATGATAAGATACAGATGAAGAAATAGACAAGGGTTGGAGAAGATGTACATTAGGGTCAGAGACTCAGAGTTGGGGAGATAGTGTGGGTGCTCTTCAAGTCTTATTTAGAAAAGAAAATCCACTGGCTGAGTTAACCTTTTTAACTAGGGGGTGGATTCAGTCCCAATTCCAAAACAGCGAGGCCTAGAACCGACCTGGATAGAGTTTTTGACATTAAAATGACATTCGTACTCGAGAACTGAAAACAAGTAGAAGACAAGTGTATATGTCCTTCGACAAGTTCACAACAAATGGACCCTTTTCCCAATTCATATAATCATAAAAGGAAATGTTTTATGACTGGCAGAGAATGAAAGAAAAGCAAGAGTTTGAATCAAATCAGCTACACAATTATTACATAGCTAAAACCAATTAAATTTCTGCACAAACTTCACTCGCTTGTCCTCATCTTCCATTACAACAAGCATCACAGAGGAGTTCCTTTCTGTTTATAATAGTGATCATTATTACACTTCTGTGATGCCAAAAAAAATAACAATAAAGAAAAAAATATTTAAGAAGACTAAAAGTAGTTCCCGGCATTACGCTATATACTAATAGAATAGCTAAAGGAAGTGATATTAAGAACTAAAATGAAATTTCCTGGCAGGGATACCACTTCACTAATTGCCAGACTGCACTTGTCTTCAAGGTCCGAGAAAATGTCTGAAAGTGCAAACAAATGCCATTACATAAAAGGTCCCCAAACAACTGTTTGAGCTCAGAGAATCAAATCACTCTTTTTGGGTCACGAGCAGCTGCCAGGTGATCCTGAAATTGCAGGAAAAAAAGAAAACAAAAACATCATTTACATTAAGAAATAAATCAAATAATGATGTACATCAAGCCTTAACCACCTATGTAATTGTGAAACTTCATCTGACATTTCTTCAATGGAATGGTTATTACAGACAAGCAACAGATTCACACCCCAGCTGACCCCACCCCACCCGGCCAAGGAAAAAATATCCCTTATACCATGCTAAAGACTGTTTCCATCATTTGCAATGGAGCCAAAGACTCACCATTTTTTGGCTTGGGAATATGATGGAATAAAGCAAAACGACTCACCAAACTGTCTGCACTTCTTTTTTTATGAAGGCAGCAGTCAGTCTATGCAATTTTCGACGTGATTTTCTCTATGGATCATCCGGATCGTCTCTTTATGCTTTAGTACAAAATTAAGACTGCGTACATCCGACCCCCCTTACCCCACCGTAGATGGGAACCTGTGCATCACTGGGGTAATGATGATGATGATGATAATGACGACCATGCTAAAGACTAGAATATAAAACTTGGGTCCAACCATCTCACCATGAGATGGTGATTCTTTCTAGAGTAAAATCATATTATCTTACTATTATGAAGTCCCTTTGTTGCTTAAACCAGGTAAGGTAAGCTAATGACTTTTGATTAAAAACTTTTAACCATTAGAAACTGCAAGAATTCACAAGATGCATGACACACTAGAGAGGAAAGTTTAGGGGAAAACAAATGAAGGAAAATAAAGAGGAATACGGAAGAAAATAAAATTTGGAGAAAGCTAAAGATAGGCTCTAAAAAACTGCTAGTACCGAGAGTAGAACTCAGGGACTACTATAAAAAGGTTCAGTCATATTAAATCTTTTGATTTTTGTCCAAATTCATTTTGTTTTTACGAAGACCAAGAGATTTTCATATATGTAAAGTCTTAAAAGTTTCTAATTGTATGTCAGCATCGTTTACATTTTCCAGCATAGAATCTAACAAAGAAATAATTTACCTTATCTTTTAGTACTACCTTCGTCCCATTTTAACTGTCTGACTTTCTTTTTTGGATTATCCCAAAATAATTGCCATATTTCCTTATTTGAAAAGGAAATATATGATCCACAACATTTCACTTTATTATACTCAAATCTCAACCACAACTTTTAGTTTTTCAACCACTTTATGAGTAATTGTGTCAAATCAAAATACGACACCTAAAATGTGAAGGAGGTAGTATCTTTTACTAGCATTATTTGGGTTTCAAACAAAGCCTAAATTGAACAATAAAATATCCACCAGTAAACTTAGAAGAAACAATCAAGTACATATTTGGTCGCAATGAAATAATTTAAAATCATGTGACCATGACCATTAAGCTTGTTTAAATTATAGCAAGATTCATTAGAGAATAAAAGACAAAATTACTAGTATGATCAAAATAGATGGTGATTCCTAAAATATGAGTTAACAGTTTTTATTCCTAAACTAATAATGTCTCACATGCACGGAACATAATTTGATGCAAGTTTTTCTCCCTTCAATTTAATTATTGATCACATAGAGTCATATTTAAGTTCGTTAGTCATATATTAAAAATATATGAGTGCTTTGGTCACGTATATATAAAGTGAGACAATGACACCACAAACAACCGAACTTACTGAGATAAAATCAAATGCTCTAGTATCCTCTTTCTTTTGACTGTTCATGATAGACGTAGTTTGAGTAGGAATCCTGACATTGAAAATATCTGGAAGTGCAGAGGAAGAGTAACCACCATAAGAACCAGAACCAGAATCAGGGTTAGCACTAGTAGCTTGCTGCAGGCTTCCCATTTGCTGGAAAGTGGACATGGCTGCAAGGAATTGCTGTTGGGCAAAAAGATTGCCCATGGATCCAGTCTGAGAGGCTAATGACGGATTATTCAGCATGAAGCCAGGAGGCATATTATATGTCATAGCACCCAAAGGAGACATTGGAATAGAACTTGAACCGGAAACTTGAGAAGGCGACATGTTGTTGAAGACATCATTGGAACCCTTATGGACGGGATCAGGGTTGGATTTAGGTAAAATATTATCATTTCCTGTTAAGGACATACCGCACATTAAGTCATGAATATCACCTTTAGGAATACTTTCCTCTCTGGGAATTTCAGAGATGGAACCAAAAATGTCCAACAATTCAGGTCCACTTCCACTATGTGCAGGAATAACTTCATCAGATCCTGATTTGTCAAGTGTCATCCCAGAGAAGAGATCCGATTCATGCTCTTTGACATCGTTGTTATGAAAAGAAACATCTGCAAAAGGATCATCGTCATCTTTCTGTTCGCTGATTCTGTTCGCATCTGTGCCAATTCCAAATAAATCATCAATCAGAGGAGCAGTAGAGGTTGAGGTACTTGATACATTTTCACTGCTCTGCATTTGTACTGAATCGTCAGTTCCGAAAAGGTTATCACTGTCACCGGTGTCTATTAAGTCAGGCATCTGAACCATCTCAGCTTTTGCTAGTTTGTCTGAATGAGCCATGCTTTGGACAGTTTGAACAGGGGCCTGTTGAACATCCAGAATGCTCAACACCTGTAAAACATATCACTTCAATTACTCAAGTACATACAAATAAAATGAAAATGAAAACCAAGATTACCCATTTCAACTTTTCCACCAAAAAAATTCTGCTTTGAGATTAAAAGCTGAAATATATTAGGCAGATTGAAAATATAGTAAAAATGGAACGCAGATAGTCTCTTCAGAGAGTGAAACGGGAGCAATATTAGTACTTGGAGTCAAATTACCTTGTTGGCCTTTTCTCTCAAAGATGCTTGAGGGGATTCAGAACATTTTACCACCACATCATTATTCTCTGTAAAATAAGATGCTATTATACCAAAATGTTCATCATCTTTTTTTCTCAAAATTGCCTCAAGCACACAAATGGCTTTCACTCGGACCTGCCACGATGGAGACTGGAGCTTTGATTCGATGGCATGAGTCATAGCCAAAGCATCTAACTTTGAAGCTTCTGCCATGAATACCTGAAGAGCATCCCTAGTGGGCTGCAAGCGAACACCACCTGATGTTGCAATTGTCTCTAATAACCTCTCCTCACGAGTCTTCTCACCAGACCTCACTCCCAAACCATCACTGGTTGTTTCTGCATGAGATGTCTTAAGATCCTGACCCCAGCTTTGAGAACTCGCATTTCTTGAAACCCCAGAACTATTCTGTGATTCATTATAAGGATTTATTCCTTCATATCGATCTGAGTGATCTTTTTCCCTCGTCAATGATCGCTGAAGATTTGGACCTCTGTAACTTCCAGTATCATTCTTTTTCATGGATTGAGATTGTGTTAAACTGCTTAGTCCCTGCTTTATTGTAGCACTACCAATCCCAACAATCTCACTAATAAATGACTTATTATCTTCTGATGGCATTTCAGCATTAGTATTACCAAAGCCTTGTATTCGACCACCAAGATTTTCTTTTGGCGCCGGTTTTATGTCATCTGAAGAAGAAAATAAAGCTGATAATGCTTCCTGGGCTGTTTCACGCACCGCCTTGTTAAGTGCATCACCCTTTAGAGGATCTGGCTGGCCCTTATAGTGAATTAAGGGGCGTATAGACATTGAATTCCTTTGCATCTCCCTTCTGAACTCTGCACCCGACTTTCCGATTGCATACTTAATTACCCTTAAAGCCTGGATAAAATTGATATTCAATCATAATACATTAGCAATTTAGCATTCAGTATGAGATATTCGTAAACTAATCGAAATGCAAACTTTTCAGTAAAATGAGGGGGGAAATCTTGTTTGAACATGGCTTAGCGAATTTGGTAGAAAACTCAGCTGAAACAATTGCTTGTAATTGCGCCTCATGGCACGCGCCGCGCGCCTCAGCTAATTCCTGGACTATGGCATAAAAGCATTGCATATGGCGTTAGGATTGTAGTGTACGCAATATTGCGGTGAGGTAAGGCTCTGGGAGGCATACACAATTGGAGGTCAAGGTGTAAGGGTATTATTTGGGCCCAATCAGCCCAAATTTTAATTTTTATAATTAATATGTTTGCTTCAGATATATTATTAATTGGGAGGCGCTGGGTCTGTAGCGACTTCCCCTTTCATTTTAGGTATTACTCCCTCCGTATTTTTTGTTGGCTACACTTTCCTTTTTTGGATGTATTCAAAAATTTGTTACACTTTCCCTTTTTGGTAAGTTTTTCCTTTAAAAATACTCAAAATGTGCCAACACCTATTGTAGCAAACAAAAAAATACGGAGGGAGTATTTGACATCCCTTCGCATCCTACTCACGACTTCATCTGTCGCAGCCTTAATGCGGATGATGATGGAACAAATGCTAGTGGTTATGATCCCTATTTCAAATCACTAGATAGTGATGATTCGATTTTCTGTCATCAATCTAATAATCTTAACATTGTGATAAGTTAGGAGTTTTGTTTTGATGAACAGTTCAGACATCTTTGCTATTATGTGGTTTGAACTTTGACAAATTACTTCGCTAGGATTATGGCCTCGTTATAATTGGTTTTAATATGACATTGATGACTTTTGACGGATATATTCTTTTATTTTTATTGAGTCTACACACACATATTAGCCTCAGGCATACGCCTCATTGCGCAACGAGGATTACGCAATATGCAATTTTTAAAAAAAATGTCACTAATACTGTGACTTAGGGGTTTTCATCTAAAAACTGTTGCTCAAAAATTACAAGGAGCTATTGCACTGTAGCCCTTCTAAGTAAAAATATCAAATGCTTTTATGTTTTTTCTTTCTTTGCAATTCTGACCAATATCTGCAGTCTGCAAATTACTTATCACTAAATAAAAGAAAATATCATTTCTTTTATTTGCAATTCAAGATTAACAATTGCCATAATTGTTATATTTTAATTTTAAATTTTTATAGATGATGGTCTCGTTTAAGCATTACTGTGACTTAAGGGTTTTCGCCTGTTCCGCTTAGTCCATTTTGATTTCATCAGTTAAGTTTTGAGAAGTGCAAAACCAAAAACCGAGTAACTCAAGCCCATTTCAATTATGTCTGGTCAGGTTGTATCAACTTCAGTCAGTTTAAAAAGCGTAAACCGTAAACCGAACTACATATAGTTTAGCCAGTTTTTTCGATTTCGGTAGGTTCAGTTCAGGTCAACTTGGTTTTGGTCACTTGGTTGGTCAGTTTCAGTTTGCCGTTTCCACTCACCCCTAGACTCATACATGGACCTTTTGTTTAAAGCTTTAAAATACGCCAATTAAACCTTATTTGGAAAACCACAAACATATCATGGCTATTGCTTATCACATAGAAGTATTGAGTTAACAAATTTCATTGCTTGAAGCCTTGAACAATAAATATTCCAAATATAGTACATAAAAGCAGCACCTGCTCACAGCTTAATGTAAAATATATCAAAATATCTACCGAGTTAACTTTCTATTTAACATTTGGAGAAGCAGCATTAGCATACTATCACATAATTTGACAGCTTACATGCAGTTTAGTTTCTTTTTAGGTCTTCATTTTTCTTATAAAACAAGAAGTAAACACTTGTGTCAAACTGCCTCCATCCCCCTTGAAAAATGGAGGTGGAAAGCCGGAAACAAAGCGCAGTTTCCTTCACTTTCTCCTTTTCTAAACGACTAAACCATTTTGGATAAGCTCTTTCAGAAGTAATACGAAATGCAAAACCAATGGCAAATAGTGCATTCATCACCCCTTTTACAAAACCACAACCCATTTTAAGCTTTTCAAGGTGGCACCCACTTTATGAAAATATGTAAACTGAGACTTTGGGGAGGGGGAATAAAAAAGTGTTAAGTGTAGACCCTTCTAAGGAGCCCACATGGGCACACGTTACTGTGCATACATACCAAGTGTAGAAATAAAGCCATGTGTTTGCTAACTCCTAATAAACTCAAACATGCCATGTAGACACCATGCCTTGATCTCCCACATTTGGTAAAGTGGGATTGTGGGCACATTAAAGTGTGCCCATATAGATTCCTCATAATTTTTTATGAGTATCATATTTAAGGACAAGTGTAGCCAATAGCTGCGGCATTCTAGAGATCAAGTTTTGTGGAAACATATACAGATACTTAAATATCACGAGTACTAAACATCAGGCATTGGCATATGTCATATAACTGGCTGTAGTTGATGTGAGGATGAATATACACTAGATTTATAAGATAGATTTGTACCACTTTAGTCATCCTTTTATACCTCAACAAACAGTTGAAGTAGAACAAAACAGTCAAACAGTCATTAACTTCCAATCACATCTCTGTTGCCATTTTAGTTTGGTCATTGCCATCACATTCCCCAAGAAACCCTATTCAAGATCGCATCTTTTAAAAAATTGATCACATACAATCCTAAATTGTAAATATCCGCATAAACAATTCTCCTTCATATCAATGAAATAAGCATATCCAACCAAAGAAACCAAAATCTCGCAAGGATAAAGCAAATCTAGCAGCAAGCTGAGGATAAATGGGTAACCTTTTGTTTGACAATGGGGGATTTGTGTTGAAGACGTTTGAGGATGAACTCCGAAACTTCCTTAACGATACCTGCATGAGACGTCCGAAGAAGCTCACAGATCTCTTCCAACTTGTAAACTGGAGTGACCTTGTCTTCATCAGCAGTCGCGCCGTCGATCATCCGAGACCTCCAATACGACTCCACTGCTCGCCTACTCGAATCCATCGCCCCGATAAATTCTTCGACTGACCGTATTTCTCAGCCAACCCCAACAGCAAATTCGACGAAACAATCGGTCGATCTTCGCTCAATATACAAGATGAGATGATGTGTGTAGTTGAGGTTGAGGTTCGGTGGAAGAGTAAAACGAGAGAAGTATTGTGATGTTATTAAAATGGCCGAAGTTTGCAAAATTTGTAAGAATTATTAAAGTTTGGGACGAAAGAGTTGATTTAATTCGGTGAATTGCGAGGAAAGGAATAGTTAGCAGTTGAAATGAAGAAGTAATGCCGGGTATGAGTTTCCCCAAATTCTAATATACCAAGTACTAAGTACTCATTCCGGTCCTTATTAAAGTTCTTAGTTTGACTTCACACAGATTAAGAAAATAAATTTCATTTTACTGTGTAGTGCACTGTTTGGCACTGTTTTGCACAGTTTTGCACTGTTTTGTTTCCTAAAATGAAAGTGTGAACTTAAATAAGGGACATCCCGAAAAAGGAAAGTGAGAACTTTAATAAGGACCGGAGGGAGTACTTCGTAGAAAATAATAAAATGTTTATGAATTTCCAAAAAACTATTTATACAAACATTCAGAAATATTTACACTTTCATCTAAAAACTATAATATCTATTTCTGCTCTTTGGAAAAGTCGAAAAAGATTTAAAAAGTAGATCAAAACACCACATAACTTGAATGATTAAAAATTATCAATCAAAGATACCACATCTAAATACAATATATTTTTATTTTTTACGGAGTATTTTTTATTCATTTTATTACTAAATTTTGATTATTTTTTTCTAGAAAGGTTAATTACATAAATAAAGCTAAAATATATTCAAAATATTCAAAATTACAATGATAAAATTCATTATTGTTTAAAGAGAATATTACCTGAAATTGGACTAAAAAGGTTAGAAAATTCCGAAAAATGATTGTCATGTTTTTATTCCCAAAATATGACTAATTATTATCATGTTTTAGCAGTATCATACTTCAAACATGGCAGTATTTTCCAAACATAAAAAACATAACTACTTCTGTTTTGGAATTTTCAAACTGTTTTAGTCTTATTTCGGGAACTTTCCCTATTTTAAATCATTATATTTTAGATTGATTGTTTTCAAATTCCAAACAAGGAATCTAATCTAATGGAGTAATGGGACTACAAAATAATTTTTAGCTATAAAAGTACGTACCATTAGCCTCGTCTTTCGCTTCAGAATTCTAAATATTAACGTGTACAATTATAAGTGTATATACGCTGGTCAATATTGATTCGCTTGACACATTAGACTATTAGAGCGTTAATTTTTTTAACAAACAAAGACGGTGTTTATGATGTTGTTACTCGGACTTATTTCAGTCCCAGATCAAACCGTATCAAACTAAATCAGACTCCGACATTTGTAAAATGCATATGGATTAGACATTTACAGATCAGATCACGCTAGATCATAAAATGTAGTTCAAAGCATGGATGGATTTAGGGGGGGGGGGGGGCGGGGGGGGCGACCGCCCCCCTTGGACATTCAATTTTTTTTACCATATATGTAATATTTTCATAAAACTTTCATAATTTAATTAGATTCGCCCCTCTTAGCTTTTAATTTTCAAAGTTAGTATATAGTCTTACATAATGTAATACTTAATTGGAGATTTGAAAGAATAAACATCTAAAATAATTTACATAACTTAAACAAATAAACAATAGAGTAACTCGTTATTTAAGATTTAGGATACTTATTATATAAGAATTCCTAGTTTTGTAATGTTTAATTATCTTTATTAGATAACAAGTACTGGATTTTGTAAAACATATATCAAACAATATTAAATACTAGACACACTAATTACACAATTTTTATATCACGTGAAATGAATCCAAAATATAAATATTTATAGACATTAGATTACATAATTCATTTACTTCTTGGTTTCTAAAAATAATTTATTGCATGGATAATAAACTTTAAATTATTATAGAATTAATAAAAATATTAAAATATAATATGCGCCGTATATATGTGTGTGTGTATGTGGTGCACATTATTCTAAAAATAACAATCTCATACATACTAGTATACTACTATTGTAATATTAAGAAAACTTCTCATGAGTCATGACTCACGAACACCCTCCTTGGTGGACAAAAATTACAATTCAATAACCGATTTATGAGGTTAAACAATGTAGAAGTTATTAAAAATGTATTGGTTGATGTCTTTGTCATCGTCTAAACTTAAAATGTATTAGATTTAAATGCCGTTCGGGATGTGCATGTATTAATGTCATTTTTTGAATAAAAATAGCCGCATAGCCCCACAATAGCGAAAATATTTCGCCCCGCTACACTAGGGAAAAAAAATTCACCCCGCTACACTAACGAAAAAAAATTCACCCCCTACACTAACGAAAAATTTCGCCCCCCTTGACTCAGAATCCTGGATCCGTCCCTGGTTCAAAGAAAAAACATACGGAGTATTTACTACGTAGTACGTACTATTTAATGAGAAGCATTGTGGTGCGATGATTGTGGTCTGAATGAAACATTATACTCCCTCCATTTCAGTTTGGTTGACACACTTTCCTTTTTTGGACGTTTCAAAATGAATGCCACACTTCCCATTTGGTAAACAAAACAGTGTCAAACAGTGCCAAACAGTGTTCAAACAGTGTCAAACAGTGTCCAAACAGTGTTTAAATAGTGTCCAAACAGTGCCCAAACAGTAAAATTTACCTCTTAGTAAATGTTTTCCTTAAATGTTGACAAATCAAACTATGTCAACCAAACTGAAACGGAGGGAGTATGCCTTAATATTTCAATTCAACTCATGCATTTTTATTTAGGTGAGAACTCCGGTACCCATTTAAAAAATGGGGTACCGTATCTATAATGTATTTGATTGGTCCAAATCATTATATCCTTTTTAATTTAGATTTAAATAATTCAACTGCATTATTCTGAATGGTCCATGTGTACATTGGACAAAGGTATGATACCTTATGGGTACCATAGAATCGATCTTTTATTTAAGCTTATTTAAGCGTGACCATTCCTTTTTTTTTTGCTATAACATACCAAATCTTTTTGAGAGATTAATATGGGAGAAAAGGAGTAGAAAGCTAAAAAAAATGAAGCAAATGAAAGTATGGAACTGCTTCCCGCATTCTCAGGTGCTCTCTTCAACCAAATTATTTATTGAAAGCTCCACATTTTATGAGGACAAATAGAGAAAAAAGGGGGAGAGAGAGAAAGGGAAAGAGGAACAGAAGATCCTTTTTCTTCTTGGCTCTGATCGATCTTCTCAGTTTCAAAAAGAAATATATATAATGGGCGAAAGGAACGCGCCGCTGCCAAAGTTCGGAGAATGGGACGTCAAGAACCCGGCCGCCGCAACGGAATTCTCCGTCATATTCGACAAGGCACGGAACGCAAAGAGAGATGGCATCCGGCCACCGTCTGCCACCCGCCGTGACCAGCTGGACTCCCCTGTAAGGAAGGACTCACGGCCAGGCAACGCCGCCAAGTCGTCCCTTAATAAAGCCGATGGCCACCTCGTCCGGCTGGGGAAACCTCTTGCCGGCCGTAAATGGCTCTGCTGCGTCGGTGGGAGGCACGACGACTAATACATCGAGAAGGCCGGCCCGGCCATTAATTGTGCTATAGCAAACCAAAACTCCTCATTTCTGCTAGACTAACATTCTATGATCCAGGATTAACTTTGACCTCCTTACTATTTCTGAGTACAATTTTTATTAATAGATAATTATATTTATTAATAATCATATCTTATACGTAGTACCTTTTTTCGATTAAGGGAGTGTTTGCAACTGCTTCTGCTTAAAAAAAAGCACTTTTGGAGAAGTAATGAAAAAGTGATTGGTAGTAAAAGTTGATAGTGTTTGAGAAAAAAGTGATTTTGAAAAGTAAAAGTTGGTAGTGTTTGGTAAAATAAGTGCTTTTTGTGTAATAGAAAAGGGAAAAGCACTTTTCACACGCAAGCCGAGAAAAAGTAAAAATTGGTAGTGTTTGGTAAATAAGTGTTTTTTAAAGCCAAAAGCTGAGAAGTGCTTTTTTTTAAGCAGTTGCAAACACTCCCTAAATATATTTGGGTACGGTTATCTTTTTCTTTCTCCTATTTTAATCATTATGTGAGTTAATTATGAGTATATACTTCTCTTTCGGCAAATTGCATGCCAGATGGAATTTGACTATTATACTTAGATTCGATAGTTATATTGTTATTATGTATTAAACTGCAATAGATTTTGATGGATACATTATTTTAGTACAATGTTTGGAGATCCAAGTATTTGGAGAGGCTTAGAGTTTTGAGGCCCTCATGAATATATACATACAACGTGTATGAATTTTATATACAATGAAGGACTATATTTAATCATCTTTGACTTTTGTTAAATTTTGACCGAATTTTTTTTTATACAAAAATAGGTATATTAAGAAAATGATATCTTAAAAAAACTATCACAAAAATATAAACGAGAAAATTGCATATATGGTCCCTCAGTTATCCACAAAATTAAAATATTAGACCTGTATTTCTGATATTGTAAATGTTACCCCTCAATTGTCCAAAATGTTGTAAATGTGGACTTTTAAATAGTGAAATGTACTTTCATCCACATTGTATATTTCACCCCTCAAAAAGACCACATTTACAGCATTTTGGACAATTGAGTAGTGACATTTACAATCTCAGAAATACAGATCTAGGATTTTAATTTCGTGGATAATTGATGGATCATATATATATGCCATTTCTAATCTAAAAACTTATAAATACCAATGATGGTTAGAGCATTTTCGGAAGGATAAAAATGTTGATGTAACACTAAAGCAAGTTACACTTATACAATTTGTTTTAATTATTGTACCTTTCATCATTACTCTTATTTCTACTGCTTACTCCGTTACCAACTGTTAAGTTTCCTATTAACATCCTATATGTGGCGTTTTAATTATTCTCTGTACTTAATGGAATTGATTTTTATGTAATGTTTTCATTTAAATTTGCATTTTAAAACTTTTCTCTAGGTCACCGTATATGTTATGTAGAAGTTGAAATGCTCCTTTGTTTAAATTATATCTTATTAATAAAAAAATAAGAAAACACTACATGAAAACAACTAAAATAGTATTCCACAGTAATGTTAGTCAATTCAAACAAAAAAGTATTAAATTGTTTTCCGATTGTTTCTACTTTAAAAGGTGAATTTTTAAAGTGATTTTGAAGAAAGTGCTTAATAGTAAAAATTAGTAGTGTTTGAAAAAAGGGGTTTCTAAAAAGTAAATGTTGGTAGTGTTTGGTAAAAAAAGTGTTTTTTGTGTAACAGAAAAGTGAAAAGCTCTTTTAGAGGCCATTCGGCAACACTGTTTTTCGGTTTATTAGGCTTATCAGCCAACTTTTTCACCAAACACATAATTTTTGCTTTTTCGCGCGCTGAATTGTGTAATAAGCAGAAAACGTAAGGTTGAAGTTACTTTTCTGGATGTATTGGCTGAAGTTACTCTAAATGACCACTTTAGCTATTTTTACATATAATTTTTTCTTTATTTTATTAATAAAATATATTTTAAAAATAATTTTTTCTTAAATCATCAGAATCAGCCAATGCAGCCACTTCAACCAGAACTTCATAAATTTCAGCAGAATCAGCCAAATCAGCCGATTTTCGTGCTACCAAACGGGCTCTTAAGGCCCCCCTCCACTTGCTTCCAACTTTTAGCTTTAAAATGCTTAATTTAAAGAAAAGTTTTCACTTGAAAAACTCATTTTAGCCCTTTTTAAGCCAAATGATGAAAAATGATTCTTTTATTTTTGGGAAAACTGTCAAATAGGTCCTCGAACTTTCATAAAAAGGTGAAATAAGTCCTTATATAGGAGGCTCTGTCCGGCCATCGCGATTTGGGGCGGTTCCCGGTGGAATTTTTTGATGAACATTTTTGAGCATCTTATTCATCAAGTCTAGTTTACTCATACCGGGAACCGCCCCAAATCGCGATGGCCGGACAGAGCCTCCTATATAAGGACTTATTTGACCTTTTTATGAAAGTTCGATGACCTATGTAAGGAATAATTGTACTTAGATTTTGTTGATGCTATGATAGATTAGAATTTTAAAGTACCCCTTATAGAAATTTTGTATTAGAATTTTTCTTTGTAAGTATTGGCATAGTCGACGGGCCAGAGATCCTCTCGGTACTTCTGATCTAGAGGTGCTAGGAGAACTGATCTATGAGAGTTGCTCTTCAAAGAAGCATCAGAACTGCTAGGAGAACTGTTCTATGAGAAGTGCTAGCAGAGTTGCTCCTTTAACTAGCTATGAGAGTTGCCTGCAGAACTACCGTTCAGAGAAACCATCAGAGCTGCTACCAGAGCTGCCCTCATATAGCTATCAGAGAACCATCAGAGCTCGACTTAAGAAACAATTATTCCTTACATAGGTCATCTAATGGAGGAGTCGCACCCCTCAGAAAGTCCCTCGGGTCGAGGGTGCCGTGCATAATGGCAATTCCCTTCTTGACTGGGAACTGCACGTTCTCGAGGGGCCAATCCCCCCCCATCAGCCGTCGCCCCCTTCTTCAAAGCTTGCTCAGGGGGGGAGGGAACAGCTGCCATCACCACCAGAGGCTCGGACGAGGAGTGCTCCTCAGCAACGATGATCAGGACATCCTTCTGACCGGAGGCCCCCTTCTTCTTCTACCTCTCCGGGGGCATAACGCCCTTCCCGATGTTTTTTCGTTTGAGCTCCCCTGCCTTGGAGCCCCCGGCATCGGCATCGGCACCGGCATCAGCATTTTTGGAGGTTCCCTCACCCTCCGGGACTCCAGCAGGCAGCAGCCCCATCCTTCTTAAAAAATTCATCGACGGGCTTCTGAGTGCCCGCCTCCCTCTTCTTCTTCTCTTCCTTGTCCATTTGCCTCTGTAGCTTTGCAAATGCTTTGGCGTCCATATCTGGTCCTGCGGAAAAGAAAGGAAAACACAAAAGCGTTAGGCTACCACACAAAAAAACAATGACGAAGAAAATTCCTAAGTATGTAAATAAGGATCCTTCGGCGAGAACCTTTGATGCTTTGGTACACCCGGTCTAGCGGAGGATAATTCTCATCCTTCTCCCCCATCAGCCGGAACCGCCGGAAGCCAAGCAAGTAAAGTTCTTCTGGGAGGGTGGCAGCCTTTATGGCCAACAGCTTGTCTGAGCCTGCGGGTTTCGCCTTTAGCTTCTTCCCAGCTTTCTCAAGGGCGAAGTTCCCGACCTTCAAATGCCTCCGGAAGTGATCACGCAAAGGCCTCGGGAAGGGGTTTTCAGGCATCCGGATGTAGCAGAAGTGATCCTTCCACCCTTTATGGGACGACGGAATCTCCGAGAACAACCTTCAGGAGGGAACTTGTTGTAAGTTGGCAAACCCCTCCGCATGTGTGTGCCCCCCTCGGCACAGGTTGAACGAAAGGAAGAACTGATCTAAGGTCAGTTCCACCTCCCGGGAGCGGCAGAGGGAAAGGAAGCCGAAGATATATGAGTGACTGTTGGGAGATAACTGACAGGGGGCTAGCCCCAGGAACTCAAGGTATTCTAACAAGAAAGGATGGAGGGGAAACCGTAGTCCTAAATCTACAGAGAGTATATGTACAGCAAAACACCCCTCGGGTGGGTTGGACAACAGGTCGTGGGGGCCGGGTTCAACCACTTGTGCGAAGGGTCCAACCAGGAACTGGGTGGCCTGGTCGTCGGAAGCGTCGCCCTTGTCTTCATCGCGAGGGCCGCCGTGTTCGAGTAAGAATGGCCCTCGGGTATTCCCACCGGCTGACCCGCGTCAACGGCGGACTGCTTCCTCTTCGGCGCCGCCCTCATTTTCTTCTTCCTTTTTCCTGGAGCGACCCGAAGGGGTTCGGGGTTCAGTGGTCGAGAGCTTCTCACTTCTCAAATATAGAGGGGGCATGACGGCGACGGTGACCACCCTTCGCTCCTTCTCTTCCTCCTCCTCCGCCACCTGGAGAGCGAGGGCCATTTCCTCGTCTTCCGCCACTTGTTCGAATTCTTCGGCTTCCGCCTCAGTCCGAAGGTTCTCCTGAACCACTTCAGCTACTGCAGAGTCATCTGCCGACGGGGGGTGCTCGCTGGAGGATTCCATATCCGAATAGCTCTCCTGTTGTGCCGAAGGCTCCCTCGAGATATCCTGGGAGTCACTCGCTGAAGACATCCTCTCTAGATCAAGGATGGAGGGAACGACAAGAAGGAAGTTTCGCTAAAAGTACTCTAACACTAGATCAAAGCGCAGGGAAGCAAAGTATGGGGAAAAACTGAAAAACGGGGGAAGAACTGACCTTGGAGCGAAGGAAAAACTTGGGTTTGATCGACGAAAATGCTTTCTCTCTCTAGAAAAATTGGCAGAGCTTCGCTTCAATAAAATCGCACAAGAAAAATGAGCCTGGCCTTGGGGTATTTATAGGCAACTGGGCCTCGAGAACTGGGTCTCCATTTGAAAAGCCCATCATTACAGGCCGCGGTTTCGACCAACGGGTGGCACCTACCCCCCTTCAGCCAACGCGGACACGCCACGTGTATCCTCCCTCCAACGGCTCTTTTCCAACGGCTCTATTTTGGGAAATCATTGAGGCAACCTCAGTTGGTAGCCTCCAGCTATCACTCACCAAAGCCTTCGGTGAACAACTTTTACCAGGTGCTCTCGGGCATGTAGCAGTATAAGCCTTCGGCTTATCA